GCAGCGTTTCGAGTAGAAAACAACGTTCGGTCCGGGTCGTCTGAAAGATATGGCCAAGTCGTGTTCATGTTGGTATCCCTTACATGTATTCACGAATCTCCAAGTCCGCACCGTCTCCATGGAGGCTTCGTTCATCATGTATGCCAGCAATTTCATCTCACGTTTTTCAAGGGTTTCGTCGTATGCTACGAACAACTCCCGGACCCAAACCAACCCTACCCGCGTTTTCGCCTTGGGTGTTGTCTTGCGTATGTTTTTCAACCAAAAATCTCTCCGCCTCCACGCCGTTTTCATGTTGCTTGACCCCAAAACCGTGAATCGCAACGGTTCCGAAGAACGTCAACCGAAACAAGACGGCAGTAACACAGCACCGGGAATAACGTCCAGCACTATGACAGACTGTCTTTGGTCTCTGCGCGCTACGCTACACAGACGGTCCTGCCCCGAACTGTCACAACATAATCTCCCCTACCCCATTGCTGCGTAACCTCACCTCGCGCATGGGACAGCAATAGCGTGCTCTCTCTCTCTCTCTCTCTCTCTTGGCTTTTTCGGCACGTCAACAGCACCTGCACCTAACCGTACGGCCTCCAGGCGAACAACCTCCGGCAACGGACTGCTACCATCTCCTACGCCGACCCCCTGCGGCAAAACTCGAACTAGTTTCAGTACAGCAGTGTCCTCTTGGATCAAAGGAAACTTACAACAATGAAAACAGAGACGCACGCTGCTATGCCTCAAAAAACATTTGACGCGTGATAGAACGGAGGATGTAAACATGTGTAGACAGCCAAGACTGACTCACCTTCTTGGTGAGGGACCAGTCGTTGCACGTGCTCTCGCGCAGGGCGGCTATCGCTTCGCGGGTGTACGCGTCCCCCTGCGCTTCGTATTCCTCCTGGGACAGCTGATTCCCTGCACGGTACCACCTGGAGCTGCCGAGATCATTATCATCATCATCGACAACGACAGCAAACGAGAGGCAACAAGAGAGCAACAAAAGAGCATGAACAAGCGTTCACAACGACGATGACATTCATGGCGGGCAAATGCTTGTGTGCCATGTAGAATAGGTCCAGCTTGAGTGATGAACGCAAGTCTGACATAACATTGGGCATCGTCGTCGCCTTTCATCGTCCTTTGTTGCACACAATCACTCACACCGGCACAACCGCTAGAATTACCGGTTCTGCATGTTCGCTCGCATTCGCATTTTCTTGTGCAAGGAATTCCCAAGGGTACAGTAGTGCGACAACGCAAAGGTGAGAAAGAATGTGACGAAGAGGGGTGCACCACCCTGGCTGCACCACCCTAAATATGCCCCGCTTATTTATTACTTCTTTAGCGTAAGTAAGTCATCACACGGGCGACGTGATCACACCCCGTTTCTACCTCACGCCGCAGTAATCACACTCCCTTCAGCAGGTGGGGGTGCTGTGAGCGCGCTGCATCACACGGACGCCATTATCACACACGCCATTGTTACTACACAACCCTTTTGGTGAGGTTCTGCGAGTGCACTCTTCATCCCACGGGTAACACGAGACCCCACACCCCCTACACAATCCCAAAAACGGGTGATGACTTCTGAGCCCCCAAAATGCTATAAATCTCACGGGTGTGGTTTCATACATAACCTATGGTAGTGGTGCTCCCCTCTACCGTGCTCACCTATTGCACCACATGTTGTAGCGGCGGGCGTAGTGGGCGAGGGTCGGGGCCATCAGGGCCAAAACCACCAGTGCCTGGGGTTGGAGGAAGGCAATCGTCATCAAGCATTGTAGGAAACACACACACGCACACACAACAAAAAGAGGAAAGCAGGCGTGTTGCTTCGAAGGGTAAACTCGAACCGTAAGTTGCCAACGTGCGAAGCAGGCACCACCCTCAGACACAAGGGAAGGACATACACACACACAAAAAGAAAATACTGCAGTGGCATCGCGTGGCGAAAAAAAAAGCGAACGCAATCGCCACACGTGCCTCCACCCCCCGGATTGACAACGTACGAACACTTTCCTCAGATACGGTAGAAGCACACACACACAAAAAAAACAAAAAAAACGCAAGATGCATGTGTCGTGGCGATAAAAGAAGCGAACGCAATCGCTACACCCTCCTCCTCCCTTGGAGGGGTGGCGGAGCGCGGGGGGGTGGGGGGTGGGGGGTGGGGGGGCGTATGGTCCGCCTTATCTACCGAATAACGCGCAAACTGACCAAGCACATCGGAGATACACTTGTGGGAGATATTGGCTGTCCTCCAAACCACCACCACCACCCCGTCCCCCGCGATGTGTCTGCCGCCTGGACCGCATTTCTCCAAATGGGACTGTCTTTCTTTCTGCCTCCTCCTCTCTGCCCATCTGTCTGTCCGTCTGACTCTCTCTGTATCCGGAATCCCGCCCATCTGAATCATCAACTCATGGTGGAACCACTATACGGGGTTCCGGTGAGCGAGCAAAAAACAAAAAAACTCCCCCGGATAAACAGACCCAAACGCCGCCAGATTGGGGGTTGGCACACTCCCGCCTCTCACCAAAGACCGCGGGCAGAACAAAGAAGAGAAGGGGGGGAGGGGAGGAATGTCGGAGACGGCATTCACGTCCAAAAGCAGGACTCACGGGGAAGGAAGGCACGACGAAACGCGCACGACTGACTCACCATCCCGACGTCTGTGTCAGAAACGCCATTGTATACCAAGAAAACGCCTGAGAAGGTCAGCACCCTGCGGATGCACGCCTGGCCATTGAACCTTGAAAAACAGAAGAATTTTGGAATGAATCGGAGAGGGCACGGCAGTGGCAGCGTCATTCGCCGTTTGTTGTCGAGCATAGCGACGGCAAAGGCAGGGAACGAAGCGGGCTGCGCGTAGTGCTGGTACATAAAGGTGCAGAACTAGCGCTTCTGAGAAGTTGACCCAACAGCGGCAGCACAGCGGCAGCACAGCGACACGAAGAACTTGACTTCGACGCTTGAACGCCCTCGGCACAAGGAGAAGGAATTTCAACCGAGCAGTTTTAACGCGTAGCTGTCTACCGTAAACAGCCGGTTGGAGTGTGGGGGGGGGGGAGTTCCTAAACGTTATCGTCGAGCGGTGGATAAAAGAAAAGCGCACCAGGTTCCGCGAGCCTCGTCCGCCTCCTCCAGGAACAGCCCCTGCCGCCACGTGGTGAGCACGCCCGCCAGCCCCGACGCCGCGAAGAACGCCTTGCCCGCCCAGGGGAAGCTCGACAACCCCATTTTCCAGAACGCCTGCTCCAAGCCGTCCGGATGTGGCGGCAGAGAGACAACACGTGCGGTAGGGGTAAGAGCGCGGGGGCGTGCGCGAAGGTGGGCTGTGCGCGTGCGGTGCACGAACGAGAGGACAAGGGTGTTCCGACAGAAGCTGTGGTTCTATCGAAAGGCCTACAGTACAGCGCCACGCCAGGAAAAATCGGTCTTAAGTCGTGTCGGTTGGGGCGCACGCAGCTCTTCACCACGTGGGAGGCATTGTGTGCTAAACGACCTTCACCATTGCTCCTAGGGAAAAGAGTCGTACGGGTTATTGCCAAGTGAACTCGGCCTGCTTGAAACACCAAGCAACGTTGCTCAATCTCGACAGTGCTGTTGTGGCGCCGATGCCCGTTCTTGGAGCCATTTTTTTCATCCAGAAAACGCCAAACGGAGTACATCCAGGGAAGCTACACACTACCACGCCAAACGAATCTTTCTTGCCTATCTTCTATGAAAGAGAGAGAGACGGAGAGGTCGTCGTCAAGCACCCTACGTCGCCAAGCAACATTTCAAAAAGGAACACAGAAGGCACACAAGCATCCAACATACCAACATCACGCCGGGTAGGTTGCTGAGCAGCTCGGCAGGAGACGGGATGTGGTCTACCCCTGCCGCCACCACAAGCCACGTCACGACCCCGCCCAACATCAGGAACCTGCAGCAAAAAAAACACCCATCGCACGGATCAGGGAGACAAGGGGGCGGGGGGGCGTTAGAGAGGAGCGAGGCCCTCGTACCAAGGGTCACAACAAGACACGAGGCCAACAACGGCGGTGGCGTTTACGTTCTTTTCATGTGGTCGACGAGACTAGTCCCCACCGACCGAAGCACCACACGACGCCCTACCGCGGCTCGGGCTTCCGTCTTCATTTCTCCCTTGTGCCGTACAAACCGAACCCTCTGACTAAAAAACAAATCACACACCTGAGCAAAGACCGGCGAGGGTTCTTGACGGCGCGCAGCACCGCCGCCGCCGCCCCGACCACCCCCCCGAGCAACGCCGACAGCAGGTAGTGGAACGCCCGGGACTCGCTGAGGGGCTGGGCCACGAGCAGGAGCGCCACTCCCGTCAGCAGCATCGCGGCGTAGACCGGCACCGCGACGCTCGGCGGCAGGCCCAGCCTGACCGCCGAAGCGTGGAGGGCTACCAGCGCGTCCGATACAGCCGTCGCCGCCGCGGATTCTCGCCCATCGGCCGAGCTTGCCCTAGGAGACGCCGCCCCCGCTGCCGTCGTCGCCAGGCTGTACGTGCGGAGTCGGACGGCGGAGGTCGACTCTACGCTCTCCGCGCTGAAGCCGCCGCCGCCGCCGCCGCCGCCGCTTCTTCCTCCCCGCTTGCTGACGTCCCCCACCTCCACGTGCAGGCAGGGCTCGCGTCCCGGAGACGCTCGGATCGTGCACGGGCCGCGGCCCGCGCACTCGCAAACTCCGCCGCCGCCCCCGCCGATGATTGCGCTAATAGCATCACCACCACCAGCAGCCGAAGAGACCCACGCCTGCGCCATCGTCGAAACCCAGCCGCTTGGCTGTTGCGCCGAAGCCTTGGCCTCGGTTGCCACGCGGCAAGGGCGAGACACCACCTTCCCGGGGAAAGGGGCGTCCGAGGAGCAGAGCTTGCGCACAAGGCCGGGCACGAACGCGGGCATTCCCGCTGCCGCCGCCGCCGTCGCGGGGGCGGCGGGCGGCTGGGGGTGGAGGGGCGGGGCGACCAGCGAGCAGGCCAGCTCCAGGAGGCGGGGGCGGTTCTCCACCAGCACGAGTCGCTGCGAGAGATCGTTGTAGGCCGAGCCGCCTTTCTGGTTCACCTATGGTATTTGGTCCGTTCGTTTCGCCGACAAAGGGAGAACGTGGTCGGGCGGGGGGGGGGGTTGGCAGCTCAGATGGCACGATTTCACGTGGTTCACCAAGGGAACGGGTGGCCGTCGATGTAGGGGCTAAGAATCGTAGCGCATTGCGGCGCTCGTGAACTTGAACAGCATGACACAAGATAGCTTTCGTGAGGGTGGCGTGGGGCAGGCCATGTCCCACGGAAGCAAAAAGACGGTAAAGGTAGCCTTGAAGGGGTGTCGCCAACTTTCAACACTTCATGGGAAAACACGTCGGAGAACACCATCGATGTCTCCGCCTCATCACTCGCCATGTACTACGCGGAGATCGGCTGGCCGTAGACCGACCGCAGCCGACTCAAACAGAAGAGGCTGCTCACCTCGAACACCGCGTCGCTGAACCACCCGGGCATCCCTCCCAGCATCCCGAAGAGGTGGGACACCGGGGCCGTGACCACCGCAAGCGCTTGCCACCCGATGCCCGCGTCGCTGCCCGCGGAAGAGGCTGCGTCTAGCGTGCTCCCTGTTTTCGCTGCGAACTCAGCGCCCTCCCGCGACGCGTTGTCAGCGCTCGGTACGATCTTGCGTAGATAGGGAGTGTTGTGCATCATGAATGGTGGGTGGGAATGCAGCGTTGTTTATATTACTATTTGGAGAAAGTGCGTGTTCCCACTGCTGTAGGTCTGAGCAATACTCTGGGAGCACGGCAGTAGTAGAGTCATTCCTGTAGGTGCTGAGCGGCGAGCCATCGTGGATGCCACGTGGCGGCGGTTGGTGTTTACTCTCGTTCGCACGCGTCGTGGGGTGAACGAACGCCAAAAACAATTAATGATCTTGTACACATGCATATTATAGCAGCGTGCCGCTCGACAGCTGTGTGCCCTTCGCGCAACCACGCCGTTGTTCTTGTCGTTGTCTCCTTCCTCGAACATGGCACGCGCCGCCTACATGGCACGCCCAGGCGCCTGACAGACGGACTGCTAGGTTGTAGTATGTACCACGGAGAGACGCACCGCAAACACTGCAGTAGTCCACGCCATACCGAACGCAAATAAAAAATTCTGAACGCTGCACGCAACACCGAAACACCCGATTCTCGTACACACCCGCTGCGCGTTCTCCCAAGACCTCTCGAGCTTGCTGCGCAGGTGGCTCCACACGCCCTTGACTGTAAGCCCCCCGTCGGCGGCTGCGGCGGCGTCCCGGTGACTCCCTACGTCGCACCGGAGCAGCTCAAACTCCATATTCATCATCTCCGCGGGAGTCGCCGCAGTAGTGCCGCCTGCTGGCTGCGGCGGCGGCGGCGGCGGGCGGTCGGGCTTGGGGATGGTCCCCTCCGTCTTCCCCACGAACTCGATTCGGACGCCATCCTGCTCGCCCGTCTCGACCTCGACGGCACCCTCCCCAATGTGCGGCGTCTGCTGCTGCTGCTGCTGCTGCTGCTGCTGCTGCTCCTTGTCGTCGGTGCAAGAAGACCCGGCGGCGGCCGCTGCCGAGCAGGTGGCGTCGCCAGCGCTGGCAACGAAAGCAGCAGCGGCGGCGGCGGCGTCGTCGTCGTCGTCGATATCAGCTAGGTCCTCGTCCTCGCTCACCGCGTTTCCCTCCTCCCCAGCCGCAGGTCCTGATTCCGTTTGAAATTTCTCCAGCTGCTGCTGCTGCTGCTGCTGCTGCTGCTGCGGTTGCGGTGGGTCTCGCTGCTCGGGCGCAACCACCGCGACCTCCTCCGCGAGCGCCCTGCCCACAGAAGCACAGGAAAGGTAGACCGACGTCGACAGGATCGCGCCGATCACGCGCACAGGAGTGCGCATGATCCTCCTTCTTCTAGTGCACACAGCAGCAGTAGCACGCGTACCCAAACCAACAAGGATCGTGCGCTGTAGATCGGATGCCGGGTCTTGCCTTGCTGTTGTGGATGCCCGCCTTTTCCTTCCTGACAACACCTCGCGCAGAAGTGCTCCTCGCTGTGCGAGTGCCTCTCGGCCCCCGCCAACAGCGGACGTACGTAATAGAGACAAAGGATCTCTACCTCTCTTGCCCGATCATTGCGGCAGCGTGTCTCTCTGTCTGTCGTGTCTCTCTCACTCGCGCTGGTGGGGGCTCTCCGGCTTAGATAGACACCCCCCCCAATGATTTCGCGGGGCAGGGAGTAAAGTCAGCGTGACGGTTTCATTTTTTTACGACGTCACGACGACCACACTTTTTCTCTCGGTTTTTCGCCCGCGTTTCCACTCTGCGCTACTTGTACAGCAGTTGTGGTTCTGGACTCTCTACAGTATATGAGGCAACTGTCCTCGTAGAAAAAAGGAGAGGAGATCAGTTATGGCGTTCGTATCGGAGGATCGGGTAGACCTGCTCGAGGAAAAGATGCGTTCGAAAATCGAGACCATGACCGGTTTCAAGGATCTCGAGGGGAAGAGCCGCGCTCTCGAAAAAGTAAGAGGTTCCAGAGGGGGGCTGTGTAGGGAAGGAACTGAGGGGTTCCAAGGAAAGAGCGATTTATGTTTAGTAGGACGGGGAAACGCGCGTTCAACATGTAGGATGCCCGAAGAATCCTTCGGCAAACCAAGGAACTGCTGCAGGTAGATACATGGATGCAAAGCAGGAGCGGGTGCGTGAATCTCGTCGGCAACACACACATACGTCATGTTTATTGTTGCTGGAAAAAGAGACTGCCTGTGCGCAAATCCGATGAAGAGAGTGCGCTGAACACTCTTGCGTACTCTCAGCATGCCAAACCTGGCGTGGATATCGTTTCGGGCGGGGTCGAACCACCTCTTTCTGGTCCATGTGGTGCGAGCTCGGCTCATGCTGGCACCTATCTCTACACCACGGCCAGGTCGTGTCCAGTCATTCCTTCCCGAATCGAGACGGGTTGTTCCTACTTCCACCGAGTTATTTGCTCGTGACAACTGCAGCATTTTCCGATGAAAAAATGGTGTGCATACTAGCGGTACATATGGCTGATCATCTCCCGGAATCAATCGTGTTCATGCCCCTTCAATAGGTCTTCAAGTACTTTGATATTGGACTGACCGGGCGGCTCGACTACAATCAGTTTTTCGCGGCGATGACGAGGCTGAACTTCGTTGGCGTTCAGGTAAGACTCACGAAGTTGCCAAACGCACACTTGAACTCATATCTTCGTGCGGTGGGTCGCATTTTTGAAAAGATGTTCGTGTCGAGCGGCAGCAGGGCAAAGCATACACACACACGGACGACAACAGCGGCAGTCGCAACGAGGTCAAAACAACCAACTTATGCTGGATAAACACGCTACACTCGACGCGATCGTGTATTCCGCACATACCACTCAATGTGATTCGACACAAGCTAACTCGCCAACCGTGTGAAATGCTCAACAGTGAGTTCACACAGCCTACGATTTTCCCTGCAGATATTTTCATCGCAGGGGTACACAGCAATGATTCAACAGATGACACGCACACAAACACGTACCGTAGTTCGCTCCACCTTGCTGCCGATCTCACGTGTTTTTGTTCACAGCGAGAGCTGGAGAGCTTGTTCGACCGTTACGACGAGGACTGCTCCAACACCATCGACTACAAGAACCTGTGCGACCACATCTTCGAAATGGGAGAACACATCGCTATGAACTCAACTTCGCGGTCAATGATCGAACGGGTGAGGTTTGGTGAAGAACAGCGGCGTTCTACGAAAGAGTGCACCTGCATCGAGTATGGTTGTTGAACGTGCGAAAATTTTGCCTGGGTGCTGATTGATGTTTCAAAGCCTACTAAGCCTTCGGAGGGTCAGTTCATGACACAGACAGCGTTTGAGTGGACCCCAAGCGTCATGCATCACGCCCAAAATAGGGCACGGAGGAGAGGCATGCACATGTGGATCCTTGTATCCCTCCCATGTTAATGCACGGGTATATGGTCACACAGCACTCGTACCGCAAATCGCATCTATTACTGCTGCTCTGATGTGTTTTTTAATCGCACAAGAAGCATAGTACCATCGTAGACACACGAACGTTACACGTGTAATGGTCAAGCCGCCGCCCAACACACGCTCCCAGCACGTCCTTTACAGGCAACAATTTACCCCCTCTCCTCAGACAAGTGTCCGTCCATCTAAAAAACAACATTGCTCAACCCACCCATCCCAGCCAAGCAACGCCGAGCTAATCGAAGCGGTTCGAGTGTCGAGTACCATCCAGAAATCTGAACCCAACCAATCCAATCCGAAACAGTTCAAGGCGCAAATATTCGAACGCGGGGGAGTGAGCGGCCTCCTGGCGCTGCGGAAGCATCTGGACAGCATGGACCTGAACGGCTCGGGGCTCTTGGAGAGGTCTCAGCTGATCCAGGCCCTGACGAACTTCGGCATCGACGTGGACGACGGTCCGGGTGGAGACATCGAGAAGATCATGGGGTTCTTCGACCGCGACGTGGTGGGCCGAATCATCATCCACGAGTTCCACAGAGGGCTGCGGGTGCGTGCCGTCAGTTGGGATGTTTTCGTTTTTGGGGTTCGGGGTCGTGCATGCATGGTGATTGGATTGGGTTAGGATGCTAGAGGCAACGATGAAAGAACACGCTGAAAAAAAGACTGCCGCTTGAAAATCACAGCACTGCCGACACCTCTTATTGGTTTCCTTTAGTTCCGATCAACATGTTCACCTCGTAGTAGGTCGAAAGGAACAGCGTTTCCCCTCTCCCCGTTCGTTCAAATCTGCGAGGTGCGTTAGCAACAAAGGGTGAGCTTGCAACCCGGCCGCCTGCTTCCCCCTCCTTGACAGGGAAACATGCCGAAGAGGCGCCAGCTGGTGGTGAAAGGCGCGTACGAGCGTCTGTCTGCAAACTTCGGTGGTTCGGTGACGATGGATGTCATCCACAGGGTAAGCTTGCCGGATAGATGGGCGTATGGTAGCGCTCCTTCGCGACCCTTCCTTGCGATGGACAACGTCGACGATGGTCGTGGACGGTTCGTCTGCTGGGGATGGTCTCGACAAGAAAAACGTTCATTGCGGAATTTTGTATGTTCTTGCTGCCTGGTCCTTGTCCGTCCAGGTTTTGCAAGGAGACGGGATGCCTTGGGCGAGGCGAACGACTCAAATACAACATGAAACTTATTGATAAATAGCTTGTTTTTTTTTATGTAACAACTCTTTGTCGTCGGTGCGATTGCACCAGAGGAGGAGGGAGAATGTGCTAGCTGGAAGTCGGTCTACCGCAATAGGGTTTCCACGTGCAACCCAAAGGACGTACGTCCTCGCAAGCAATCAACATTGCTCTCTGTCGTCGTCTTCGAGCCCGAATGGACCTGGTCATATGACCGCTCCCCTCTCCACGCACGTAGCGCGGCATGCTACTGTAGCTCAAAGCCGGATGTTCATGCCACCCTCCCGATCGTCTTCCATGCCTCCCTTTTCTCAATAACGCCGTAAGTTCCTTCCGTCTCCCTGCCGATCCAGGTACTATCCTCGTCACAGCACTTCCAACTGTTGACTATTTAGTTGATGCATCATGCCTCACCCCCCCCCCCCCCCCCCCCCCCTTTCACCCCTTGACACCCGGGGCTTTTTTGCGGCCACCCCCCCCCGGCAACACCCCTTTCTGGCTCAGGAAAAATTAATCTCGACGAAAATCTAGGAAAAGTGATGCAGCCTTTTGGGCCCCTGGGCGAAGAACGCCCCCTGGAACTACACCGAAAGAAAGA